TGGTCCAATGAGTTTGTGAGAACTGTTGTCTCATGGTTCTGACTTCATCTTTTAATTATATTAGGAATAAACATGAAATAAAAGTAACTGCAAGAGGCATTTAGGTTAGATTTAAGCACAGGTGTAGCTTTTTACACTTCATAAGATCACAAATACTCATATTTTATTAATTTGCAAAATGTCCCATGAGCCTTTGCTGCCCGAGTGTGCGTCAAACCTCCAAAAACCAACAACAAAACAAAACAAAAAAACATGGGCCACAGCACTGCTAGCTTAAACAGAAAAAAATAAAAGGACCTCACTTTAAAAAAGTATTTGCATTTCATGTGTTATATTTTTGCATTTGGCCTGCGGCCCTCTGATTGACCCCTGCTCTTTAATAACAGCTGCTAAATTCATCACTAACAAGCACCATGGGTGAACAACACGTGCTCACTGAAGAAGCAGGTGGTAATGTCGAACATTTTATTTCTCATCTGAAGATGTTTTTAGTGTGGAGGTTATATGTATTTTTTAATTTTAAATCAAGTTTAGTCAAAGTTAAAATAGTTACTGTAGTTTTGGAGTTTTTGTGTAACACTTGGTCTGTAGGATTATCTTTACTGCTCAGGCTGGATAATTATGTATGACACTAATTTTTTTATTTAAAAATGTCATCACCTGTTGATGAAGCCTACCTTTCTGTAAAAAGCTGCTGCTTTAGAGACTCCTCAATGGCAAAGTTAGTTTTTTTTATATTATTTAATCACTACTTTTATTACATGCGGTTCTTTATGTTGTATTCATGATTAAATGCATCAAAATAAATTATTTCAAAGGTAACAGATCTTTGTAAAACTTGGTTTATTTACATAACGACTTTAATTGCTGGATATTCAGCCCCTCAGCTGTTGACCTGCAGTAACTGTGGCCTCGGAGCTATTTAGTTGAATAGCCCTGTTCTGGGGGAACTATTGAATGAATAATGAATGAATAATTTTATTTATTGGAGACAGTGTGCAATTAAAACATAATTTGATGCATTGCACCAGATTTAGCCTAAGGCTAATTCACATCTGTAGTCCCATCAAACAGTAAAAACAAAACATCATCCAACAGTAAAACAGAAGTAAAAGAGGAAAAAAACAGAAAAAAAATAATATAAAATAAAACATTTTGCAATTAAAAAAATACATAAAACACCCCACCCCACTCTCCAAACATAAAATCATGCCCACCTCCAACCCACACAACCAGAAGCAACTCTAAAATCGATTACCCAGCGCAATTCATTGATTGCAACATTGGGTAGATTTAAGATATTTTTTACGATTATTTTTAAAACTAATAAAAGGTTTTTACATGATCAGGAGCAGCGTTCCACTGAGCGATGGCTTTAAGCTTGTCCAAAGGCTGATCGTCGAGCAGGAACTTCACAGTTCTGCCTGGATGTTCTAGTTAAGCACAAAAAACAGCTGAATGAAAATAAACTAATTTTTGCAAACAGATTGGCGCTAAACCGTTTAAAATTTTATATAGTTTCCATGTTTGAAAAAACTCTTAATTGTTCATTTAAAATAAGACAACATTGTCATTGTTTCTTTTTTCCTGTTCTACTAAACTTATACCAAACCATGACCCCAAAACCTAGTCTTCATTGAACTGATACTAATCTTTATTTTTACACCCTTAATATCACTTATCAGTTTTAACTCTTCTACCAACTGTAGATCTTTTAATGTATATTTAGTTCTTCGTTAAACATTGTGTGAGACTTCTCCCTCCTACAGAACCTGTTGGTCTCTGTGGCTCCTGGCGTTGTGACGCTCTCTAAAACTTTGACTCCGTGCCAAGAAAGGGCCAAGGATAACATCAGCAGAGCTTCAAACAAAGCATATCAAAACAGCTTTTCCACTGTCCAATTTCATTGCCTTGATCCTCTGGAGCACCTCAGCAGAGGCAGAGGAATGCCTCCTAGGCTGTTTTCAGTTTGCCGTCCCATCGGGCGGCTGCGCTTCAACAAACACACCACGGTCCTGTTTGTTTGCTCTGAAAATAATCAGCCCGCCTCAGGCCTGTTTTTTGATCAGTGTGGCATAATCTTTGCACCGATGACGTCTCTGCAGGGTGCAGTCTCAGTTTGTATTTGTGCTCAGTGCTGGCTGCTCTGCTCCAAAAGTACAAACAGGTGTTTTGTCCAATTATGTTTTGAATACATTTTTTTAGGGAAAAGGTTACAGTATAAATATGCTCCTATAAACACAGATAATAAAGCCTACATTTGTGTACGAAGACAAGATGTCTCTTCAGCTGTTTCTTCAAATAGTTGGTATTTTTTCTGCTTTCCTACGTGTCCATTTGTGTTCCAACTTTTAATAAGTTTCAGTCCCAGACTGTCATTTCTTATCTGGTTTTAACAGTTTTTTCTGTCTAGAGCAAAAATAATTTGATGTATTTCAGCTGGCCTCACCACTACCAGCTGCGCATTTGGCATCAGTGGAGCCCAACTTTCTGCCAACTCTCCTTCCTGTTGTCCCTGAGCTGGACTCAGTGTCTCTTAAGCTGCAGCTCCTGGAGATATTTGACCGAACAGAGGTTTGCTGCTTCGGTGAGCCTTCTTCAGCTCGCCTTCTCTAAAACTCCAGTTAGTGACGTCATCAGAAGGAAAGAAAAACTAACTTTCCTGATTAATTGCATCACCATTGTTCTCATCATCTTCAAAGCCTGCCTGAACAAATAAAAGGTTCACACAAACCACAAAGAATGGCCTCATGTCCTGGGCAGTTTTTCATTAAAGACAAGAAGAGATGATTGTGGAAATGTTAAACCAGTTTATGCTTACAGTTAAAAACTAATTATTTTTGTTCTTTAACTCAAAGCAAGAGGACATTTTCGTGCTTCGTTCAACCTGCACCCTGTCCCCTTGTCTCCTTCCTCCAGTGAGGTCATCGTCCACTGGACCTGAGAAAACAACAGAACGTTGAGACCTGGTCAAGCAGACAGGTCAAGGACCCAAAGAGCCACAAGAGGCCCGCCGCCCTCTGGATCATTAATGATTAATGAAACCTGAGGCTAGGACAGCAGACCATGACTAAACACACAAAAAGAGCCAAAACAGTGAGAGCAAAGCTAGATAGTAAAAGAAGGGGGGCATGAAGTGTTGTAGTCAAAACCACCTAACCTGAGACCAAATCAAGACCAACACCAGGAAGAAAAAGAAAACTTGTTCCCTAAAACATACCAGTGGGTTCTGACGTTATCATTCCATTAAATGGACGTTATTAGCAGTTATCAGTCCCATAGAATAGCTTCAGACTGTCCCGACAGTGCCCCCTAGTGGGTTAATGTATCAATGACATTGGATGTGTAAATAACAAAAACATATTTGAATTTCTTTTTGTCCGGGGTGGAGGAGGTGGCACTGTTTTCTCGTTGTTTTCTTGCTGCCCGTGCCTGGTCTCGGTACTGGCTCTTCCAGTCTCTGGTCCGGCGCTCTACCCATTGCCCTACATTGGGCCTGCAACAATGGTCTACTTTATCGTAGCCCATGTCATTTTCTCTAAAATTAACCTTAGTGGCTTTATGCCTCATATTAACCAGCTGAAGTCATTCTATGGGACGGGGGAACCCACTAGTCGGCACAGTCGGGACAGTCTGAAGCCATTCTATGGGACTGATAACGAATAATAACATCCATTTAATGGATGATAACATGCGAAGCAGGTGAACATACAGTATACTGTACACAGGTACTGTAGCTATGACCTAATAGCTGATATTTATTAAATCTCTTTGTGTGAAGGCCAGGTGATGAATTTTGCTACAGAGGCAGATTGCTAACATTAGCTAGCTAGCTTTGCTAACATCACAACATCAGCTTACCTTTCTTTGTGCTTTCTTTCTAAGTGAGATAAAAGTTTGACGTAGTCCCCATAGTCTCTAAAAGCTTCAGAATTTACAAGTCTGTAGGTTTTCTTCTGGATGTTTTAGAGATATATTCTTTATGATTAATGTAGCAGAATTGCATCACTGAAGATATTGTAGACATCATCTCACGCTCACAGACAACCACTGCTCACTTTCTTGGCGAGTGAAAGGGGATGGGTGATGGTGGTAATAAAAATACATAATTATCAAAGAGTCAGGCTTGGATTTGAGTCAGAGCATTTTATATTCAATGAAAGCAAAAATGATAACAAATAAACTGGACAATATTCTGGCAATTTAGTGTTCCTCGATGTCCGAGACCAAGACAAGACTGAGACCATATAAAGTGGTGTTGAGACCAAGACCAGTCTAGAGTACTACAACACACTGATGGTGGTCAGAGGATTTAGTGGTGCCAGTCAGACTTTGGAGTCCGACAGAACTTGATAAAGTGCTATATAAGTTCAGTCCATTTACCATTTACCATCCTGATGAAGGGGTAGACCCTGGATCTAACTCTGGCCACAGCCTGTTTGTTCACTGTGTGCTCCAGAGGCTCCAGACACAACAAAGTGTACAACCCGTCAACATTTAAACTCTGAAGACAAGTGCTGCAGAGAGAAATTTGTGTATGTGAGGGAACAGATGCTCAGAAAAAACGTGGTGGGGGGAACTTGGGCTTCCCAGTTGGAGAGTAAAAAAGCAGTTCACAAAATGAAAAACAACATGAAAGTCACCTCGCTGTTTCCCATGAAATCTTGCAGTTCTGAACCCCCGAGATCCAACAAAGCACAGTCCTACCCTGGAGGTACCATCACGCTGGGACCTCCATTACGAGCTCGGCCTGATGAAAGAGTAGCTAAGGGGGGGCTTAGCAGGTTTAGCTCTTAACCCTTCCCCACTGGGTCAGATATGAAAGGAGATACTTCAACATGATATTTTGTGGCAAGTCATTTGAGGAGGGGCCATTTGAGTCGAGAAATGCAATCCTAGTCCCTGTCGCTCTTACTTTCTAACATCCTTGTAATCTTCAGCTACTGTATTTGTGCTCACTCTGTTTCAAACCCAACAAAAATTTAAAAAAAAAAATTTATTCTTGTGGTTTTATTGCAGAGTTCCTCAGACGACTGCGACCCCCATGAAGGGATCCACGAAGGGAAGGAGGGCATGTACCGCCTTGAGGTGTTCAACCCTGCCCAGAGGTTGGAGTTCTGGCACAAAGACTTGATTAACACCTTGGTCACTTCGATCAATGTGGTTCCAGTTCACGGACGCACTGTGGCGTACCTCGGAACAGCAGATGGACGCCACATACAGGTGAGGGTGTCTTAACTTGCACCGAAAATACTGATTGTTTGTCGTATAAAGACAGCAGCGTCCTTTCCCTTTCTGCCATTGTTCATGACAATGTGTCAGAAGTAAAAGCACTCAGACAGACACAACACAGAGTCAGTTGCAGGTGGATAAGAGGTTGGGAGAAACTGTGACTCAACACCAGGATCTTTCTGTTTGCACAGTTTGCTTCTGTTTGAACTGTCTCAGTTGGCCTCCAGAAAAAGTGCACTATCAAGCCTGCCATCTCACAAACACAGCTCTCTGTTAGACACGCAGGTTGAAATAAGCTGGAAATTCCTTCCACTTAATGGTGCATCAGATCGCTCCTTTAAACATCCTAAAACTGACATGATAAAACTGCCTCTACATGTTCTTATTAAGGTGTGACAAGCCCCCTTTGGTCCAGCCTTTGAGCTAAAATGTGTTGTGTTGCTCACTGTTGCTGCTTATAACTATATACTTTGTGTATTAAACTATAACAACACTTTTAGTCCAGTCAGATCACACAATATCTGTGGTCAGTGACTACTGAACCAATTTTAATTAAATGTTCAGGAAGTAATTATTGATTTTACTTTGGCAGTTGTTTACCTTTTGATATCAATGCAATTCAAGATGGCTGCCACAGCTAACTGAACTTAGTAAATACAAAAATAGCAACAATTCAATCAGTTTTACAAACACCGAGCTTAGATTTGGTGTGGTAGTAGCTGAGGCTGGTTGTAAACACGTATTCTCAGTAATCCACAGTGTGAAAGATGTTTGACGTTAACGTTTGGAGCCAACTGTGTTTGTCTGTTAGCAAGAAAATCTCAAGAACTACTAAATGGATTTCATGACACTAACTATAATTGAATGTTTATCTACAACTAACTTACTGTTGGAGTCAGCTTAATCAAGCTCACCATAAAAATGGCTATAATGTTTTAATGTAACGTCAGTTTTATAGACACTGAGCTACAATTTAATGTGTAAGTAGGGGTGGGAATCTTTTACTATCTCACTATTCTATTCTATTCTATTCTATTTATATTTTTGGGGTCACGATTTGATTCAAAATCGATTTTTCATTCAAAACTGACAATGTGAGCCTATTTGTCATGTTCCCAAAGTGCTTCATCTTCATTTTGCAAACCTTGCGCATGAAGCTCATGTCAAATTCAGACTCATTTGTTAAAAAACCAAAAGAAGCCCAGATCTTTGTCTTCAATGAGGCTGGGGCTGCTTAAATCCCTCTTTTTTCCATTTTTGTAGTTTCCTCCTTGTTTTGATGCTTTCTGCACATGTGTACGTTCGAGAACCAGCTGTGTGGCGACATCAGGACGTCCCAAGCAGTTACAAAATAGAGGCTGACAGCCATTGGATTTACTTTATTGTTTTATTTTTTAATTGCTTTTAGGACATTTTAAATCGATTCTGAATTTTTGTAAAGGAGAACCAGGATTCTGATGTGAATTGATTTTTCTGGTACACCCCTAGTAAACAGCTGAGTCATTCTCACACTCTGAGTGCAAACAGATTGCGCAATATCTCACAATGTTAACAGACACTGCACATTTTGACCAAAGCTGGCTATAATTAATCATATTTCAAGATAAGATGAAAGCCAGTGAATGGTATGCATTTCTTAAAAGAATGCTCAGTTTGTCATTTCTTAACACGGACATGCAGTTCAGAAAAAGACTTCAGATGTTGAATGTCTGTTTAAATAGTTTTTATTTTATGTGGTGCATATAAAGTAAGGCTGCATGATATTAAGTTATTATGTAATTATGATAATATTGTTAAATATTATGATATCATTTGTGATAAAGCCTCACATTACTGTCTGTGTATTGGCAAGAATCTGGTTATATGATACATATCATAACACGGGATCACGATATGATAAATTGCTATGTATTGCGATATTGTAGGCAAGGCAATATATCGCCACTTTTTTTTTTAAAGAGTAACTTACACCAAATTTTACTTTTTTTAGCTGATAAACTGTCTAGAATGTGTCTAAAATGTTATATAGTACTGTTTCTGTGCTAATTTTGATGTATTTGTGTGTATTTGTTCAAATCTGTAATATTTGGTGTAAAAACGTGTTTTTGCTGCTCATATGGGTAGAGCAGTGGTACTGCAGGCTAATTTGCATATTGGTTAACGGCTTTCCACGGTGACGTGTCTTCTCCACAGTTTCGTCACAGCGGCTGTGTTCTGGTATAAAAGCCTCTCTCTAAGACACGCCCCTGCAGCAGTCAGAGGGCGGAGCAGTTAGCAAGCTTAGCATGATCGTCTGATGACCTTCAGCCTCGGGTGGGGAGAGCTGACTGCTGCGCTGCTCTCTCCCCCTCTCTCCACACACACACACACACACACACACACACACACACACACACACACCAGCAGTACGTCCTGCACAGCGAGAGGGGCGGAGGGGAAG